ATGATTTCTCTCTCTCCCTCTCTCTTATTGGAAAATAAAACATTTTGTGAGTAGAAACAAATATTGGAAACTCTCAACATAACATCTCACATCCTTTTAAACTTTTGGTCAATAGGTAATAAATGCACCCTTAAGTTTTTCAATTATTTATTATTATGATCAAATACATGAAGTAATACTCTCCGTAAAATATTAAGTGTCATTTTTATATTATTTTACATAAACAGAAAAATTTTAAAAATAGATGAAAGATAATATTGATTTTACAATATTAGTTAAATTTTAATAATTCAAAAAAAATAACATTATATAATATTTAATAATTAAAAATTTAAAATATTTAATAACTTAAAAAATGTATATATTGATAAATTATACATCAGTATTAATAAATAAAAAATAGGAGAGTAAATAGAGAGAAAAGAGATAAAGAAGACGAGAAAGAAACAAAAAAAGAGGAAAAAAGTCAAATTAAATCTTATGTTTTTTTTTCCATAGACATGTGCGCACATTGTCTCAAAGTTGAGAATCAAAAATTAATTTGCATTTATGAGATGTGACCTTCACTAGTCAAACATCATTTTAACAAAGATAGAAATCAAATTTGAGACCACCAGGTCCACTCTCTTGTGTCCTAATGCATGCCTTATACTCACTGAGTTAAAAGACTTGATTTTTATGTCTTTAAAATGTTTTATTTCTACACAATTCTCCAAAATAACTTGCAATTAATTTTTTTCTCTCATGTTTAAAATTTTCGATGATCTCTCTTAACATAACAACTCATTCTTTTAAACTTTTGGTCAATAATTAATAAATGTACCATTGAATTCTTTATTATTTAGTTTATGAATAAATATATAAAATAATATTCTCTTTGTTACATAATAAATATTATCTTATATTATTTTACATAAACTAAAAAAAATTAATAAATAGATGAAAGACGATAATGATTTTACAACATTAGATAAATTTTAATAATTCAAAAAATTTAATAATATATAATATTTAATAATTCAAAATTCATATATTGATAAATTATATATTAATATTGATAGATAAAAAGAAGGAGAATATATAAAGAGAAGAATATGAGATAAATAAGAAAGAGAAGATGAATTAAAAGAATATAAGAGAGAAAAAGAAAAGTCAAACAATTTTTTTTTCATGGAGATAGTCCATACAATGTCCCAAAATTGGAAATCAATAACTAATTTGCACTCACAAGATGTGACTTATATTAGTTAAACATTATTTTAACAAAAATAAGAATCAAACATAGGGATGACAAAAATACTTGTACTCGCGAGTATTTGTAGGTAAAATTCGCTACGAATAATAAATAGATAGGCTAATTGGGTACCCGTAAATAATGAGGACGGATAATTTTTTATCCGTTTATAAACGGGGTGGGGGCGGGTATGATGATATCCATATATGCGGGTACCCATTTAATAATATTTCTTAAGTATCCTAATTATCCTTGTATCACTTAACCCTAAAATTACATTCTTTCATCTTATTTTCTTTCCATAGCCGCACAACCCACACATTAGTCATCACAATAAGATTTATGTATTTTAAGTTGTTTACTTTCGTTTAGAATTATGAGATTGAATTATTGTAGCTTTCTGATACTAGACTTTCACTTGTGAGATTGATGTATTTTAAGTTATTGATTATCTTGTATTTTTATTATTATTTCAACAAAATTAACGTTAAATATAAGTTCAAAATTAACATTGACACTACAAGAAATGTTACATATAGTGACATACAAAAAGTGTCACTATAGGTACAATATATGTAGGTATATGTCTATTTGAAATATAGTTACACACAATTTTAGTGTTGATTTTGAATAAGATTTAACAACATATTTTGTGTGTCACTATAGCCTATACCGACACTTTTAATAATATACCAACATATATTATAGTTATTGTGTGAGTAAAAGTAATTTTTAGTGACATGTATAGTGTCATTATAAAATGTGTGCCACTATATGATAATTTTCTTGTAGTGTGAATTTTTATTTTTAATATTTCAATGACATTAAATATAAACTTAAAATTATTTCTAATATATTTTTTTTAATTTCTTAAAAAATTTATAAATATCCATGGATATTTGTGGTGCACGGATATAAGGTGGATATGGGGCCAATTTTTACCCTGCAGAACGGGGACAAGTTTATTATTACTTGCTCCCATGGACCCATTGCCATCCCTAATCAAACATGAGATCACTAGGTCGACCCTTCTATATCCTCATACCGATCTTATAATTACTAAGTCAACAAACTTAATTTTTATCTCTTTTAAATGTTTTGTTTCGACATAATTCTCCAAATTAATTATAATCATTTTTTCTCCCATATTTAAAATTTCCAATGATTTCTCTCGTTCTCTATTTCTCTTATTAGAAAAATAAAATATTTTGTGCGCATAAACAAAGTATTGAAAACTTTCAACATAACAATTCATATTCTTTTGAAATTTTGGTCAATAGATAATAAATGCACCCTTGAGTTCTTCAATAATTTATTACTTAGTTTTACGAGCAAATATATAAAATAATATTCTCTCTGTCACATAATAAGTGTTGTATTATATTATTTTATATAAATTAAAAAATAAAAAATAGATAAAAAATAATATTAATTTTACAAAATTAATCTTGTGAAATTTTCTTTGTTATAAATTATGTAACATAATAACCACTTTACATTTTGAGGAGTATATATGAAAAAAAATAATTAATGCTATATTGAAAAGTTAATATGAGACTTGTTTTGAAATTTTTTTTTTCAATCATGATACTTATCATGAGATGAAGAAAATATTAAAAGATACAAATATATAAATGAGAAAAAAATATGAACATTACCTTAAAATTTGAAAATAACAAAAAAAAATCCAAAAAATGCAACACTTAAGGTAAAAGAAGCAAGTATTAAATATAAATTATTATATCTTTTACTTAATTTTATTTCATGTATCATAATCAAAGTTATAATTTTAACTATCAATATTTAATAAGAAGATGATAATTAAATATTAGGTATTAGTAAAGAAAAAAAATACATTTTAGTCAATTAAAATAAAAAATGGCATGTCAATAAATTGGGTTCAAATTCATTATTAAAATTTGATACTAAACCTAAAAAGAATGCGAAGTTTTTATTTGAATTTTGTTAGTTTCGATTTGAGCTATCCAAAAATTAAATCAAAATATTAATTGGAGTTGAATCGAGTGTGATTAAGTTCATGAATCCTGTAGCAATAAAAACATGTAATATTAAAATGCACGTTAGAGCATTTACAACGTGAGTTATTTATAAGTAATTTATTGTGCCTCATCAACTCTTTTCTACTTTTTTCTTAAACAATGGAACCTATACAAATAATTTTGACTTAAATATGTTTTTAGTCCCTCAAATTTAGAGTAAATCTGTTTTTGGTCCCTCAAATGTAAAATTATTGTTTTTAGTCCCTGTAATTTTAAAAAATCTTATTTTAGTCCTTGTATTCAAATTTTGTTAAGAAATTTATCAAATATTATTACATAAAATCTACCTATCGGTATCTCTATTAGTGAAAATATCACATTAAATCTAATTAATATTGCATAACTATCTTAATTGGTCACTTTCAAATATGTTATTGGTGATTTAAGGAATTAAAACAAAATTTTTAAAAATTACAGGGACTAAAAACATATTTAAGTCAATAATTTTATTAAAATTTAAGTAACCTATTTTAACATCTAAATAATAAAAATAGCTAATATAGCACGGTAGATTGCTGATAAGCAACCCATGCCACATATGTTCTAAAAAACTTAAAAAAATCTGAACTCATTCATTTGTGTAATGTGTACAGTACTCCACTTTTTTAGGTGCACGTAAAGTGGTTGATGGCAGAGATGAACTGATTTAACAATAAAATACACAGACACCCAGTCCACACATACCATATATTTATAAGATATAAATTAAAATACATTTATATTTTTGGAAAATATGTTGTTAAAATTAATTCCTCATCAATGTAGACAGTGAGTGACAAATAAATAGTGGTAGAACAATTTTTGTCTGGCGCTCAGCAAGTAACGTTAATTTTGTGTACAGCTAATCTTTGTCTGTATGTTCAATTCAGCGCATGAAAATCACGTGTCATACACAGCTATTATATAATATTTTTTTTATATTATCATATAAATTACGATTTTCCAAATGTTGAAAATATGTTTAATATTTAAAATGACTGAAATAATTTCTTTAAAAAATTCTATAATATAAGAAAAAATCCTATATAAATGACTGAATTAGGAAGAAAAATTTAGACATAAGATAAGGCATTCTTCACATTTTTTACTTTTAAAGAATTAAGTTGAATAGCATGTGTTATTATTAATATTTAATATTTGAAGGAATCAGCAATATTTGAGCATGATTTGAAGAGATTTGCATTAAAATGCAGGAAGAAAAGAAGAAAGATATTTATTGAATGCATGGTGGTGAAATTAAAATGAAAGTCAGAAGATTACTCGGTTATGAGTAGATGCCTCGTCAGAAGTGAGAAGGGTTCAGCTTCTCAACCATTTAACAACTACTACAAGATATCATTCACACGTATGGCTGACTCATGCTTATCAACTTGTTCACATATTGTAATAATTACTTTTATAGCCCTCCTCAAAAAATTAGATTCAATTTCTCGACATAAAATTTATGATAATTTAATGTATTTAAACAGTTAAATTTATAAAAATAAATTAGATTGTGTTATAAAAATAAATCAAATTATGATATGTATAATAAATATTTTGACTTAGATATACAACTGTCATGATTTATTATTACAAATTAAACGGTTTAAATAAATTAAGTTATCATAATTTTTTCTTCATAAATTCATAGATCATTTTCCAAAAAATCACGCACAAAACAAGATTTAGTTTTATGTTTTTTCTGTTGAGGACTCCCAACTTCGAAATTCCCTGGCAAGGACATTTGTGGATCTATATATACCCCTTCTCAAATTGGTCTACCACATCAAAATTTCATTTCTTTTCCATTCTCTTTTGTTCTGCTTCACCTTTTGTGCACAACAAAATGACTATCCTCATTGAGCAACCTATCCTTGCCCTTGGTATGCTCTTTTTTTTTTTTTTTTTCGGTTCCTAGTGTTACATAAATGACTAAGGTTACATTTTGCATGCTTTCAGAGTCACAATTTGAAGGGAAGAACGTGCATGCCGAAGAAACCAATGAGCTTGTATTGGATGGTGGATTTCTGGTTCCAAAGGATGGATTCATGACTCCAGAAATCAATGCATTTGGCCAGTCCTTCAGGTTTCAATTGCATTTCATTTTTTATTTTTTAATTTCAAGTATTTTAAAGCTATCATTTTTTTTCGATGAAATTAATACGGGTCAATGGAAACAACTGGCACAGAGATTATGATGTTGAAAGCGAGAGGCAAAAGGGTGTGGAGGAATTTTATAGGTTGCAACACATCAACCAGACATATGACTTTGTAAGCAATGTTAATGTTAATTTCTTTTCACCAATTATGTGGCTCTTTGGTGATTTCAAAGGAAGAAAATGCAATGCTGAAGGAAATCCGATTTACTAAATGCTAATAATGTAGGTGAAGAGAATGAGGAAGGAGTATGAGAAATTGAACAAAGCAGAAATGGGTATTTGGGAATGTTGTGAGTTGCTGAATGAAGTGGTGGATGAGAGTGATCCTGATTTGGATGAACCTCAAATTCAGCATTTGTTGCAGTCTGCTGAGGCCATCAGAAAGGACTATCCTAATGAAGATTGGTTGCATTTGACTGCTCTCATCCATGGTACATACATACATACCATTTCAATTTCTTTATTTTTTTATTTTTTTTGTGTGTCAGATTTCTTGCCGAAAAGATCTATTGACATTTATGTCATAATTATCCTCATTTGACTTGGTTTGACTGGGATATTTGGATCCCTTTATATCAAAATATTGCCCCAGTTGTATTGTAAAAGAGAGACATTTCCATTTTCAACCAATGGGGTCTAACATAATCTTGATGACTTGTTCCAGATCTTGGAAAGATTCTTACCCTTCCCAAGTTTGGTGGACTTCCTCAATGGGCTGTTGTGGGTAAGAACTGTTCCTTAACTTATTTTATAAGATTTATTTTTTCTTACTTTATATATTTGATCCAACATTATAATTGAATGTTTAATGTGACATTTGCAGGAGATACATTTCCTCTTGGCTGTGCCTTTGATGAGTCAAATGTTCATCATAAGGTAGTTTATTTCTTCTAAGAAACCGGTAAACTAATAACATGTTCATAAATTATCAATTGGTCTAATTTCATTCCTGGTGCAGTATTTCAAGGACAACCCGGATTACACATGCCCTGCTTATAACACCAAAAATGGGATCTACACCAAAGGGTGTGGACTAGACAATGTTGTGATGTCTTGGGGACATGATGATTACATGTATATGGTGAGTCTATATATGGTTCATCATGCGGATGTTTTAAATTTTATACATATGTAATGTATGATTTTATTATATAGTACTTATTTAGGATCTAACAAGGTGAACATTGAAATATGCAGGTTGCGAAGGACAATGGCACCACTTTGCCATCTGCAGGATTGTTTATTATCAGATATCACTCTTTCTATCGTAAGAATTTTCATCATATATGTGTTTTTCTTAATTATAAACTTTGTTGAATGTTGAGAAGAAGGTTCTTGTGTTCATTGTCTCGCAAATATAATGACTGCAACATATAATTTTGCAGCTTTGCACAAGGAAGGTGCATACACTCACTTGATGAATGAAGAAGATGTTGAGAATTTGAAGTGGCTCAAAGTATTTAAGTATGTTTCTGGTTTAACTTCTGTAAATTTGTTTATTTGTGCACATCTTTTAATAGTTTCTTACATAACTTATAATACAATTTTGTACAGCAAATATGATCTATACAGCAAAAGCAAAGTTCTAGTCGATGTGGAGGAAGTTAAGCCATACTATGTGTCACTCATTGAGAAGGTGAGAGTCAAATTGGGATGATCTTGATGATTTTTTTTATAATATATTTATTTCTTCATTGATTTTTTAACATGTGGTTCTTATTTTCCTTTTGCCACTTGCAGTATTTCCCTGCGAAGCTTAGATGGTGAAACATTTGAGGTCAAGGGACTGAGGAGAGTTGCTTTTTAATTACTATGGCGAGCAACGGATTTAACAAATTACTAAATTTATTTTTATTTTTCCTTCTATACAAGGATTCAGATTGCAATTCATCATATTGAAATGCGTTTCTTTCATGTATTCGTTTGCAAATTGCAATCTTCAAATTATAAATATCATATCCAGTTAAAGACTAAAATGATTTAATATGATTCCCATTTCTTACTGTCCAAATGATCTTTTCTGCTCCATACCTTTTTTTTTTTGGTTATTGATCGACAAATTCGTATCATCAAATGGAGATTTACTCTAATAAACACAACCATTGCCATCCAATATACTTTAATTTATAGTACTACATTAAATAGCTATGAATAATGATGATAAATACAGATAACAGAGGGATGTTTGTTTGTGACACTTATCTTACAACCCAAATGGGTATAAAAAATTTACGTTTCAAAGAGGAATTGGGGTGAAGAATACGATATGCATGACTACTAATACTTTCTGAGATTAAATTATCTCATTTAAGCTTTTATCGCAAAAAGCTGTGTATTTGGAACACAAGCTTAAATTTATAAACAAGTTTTTTTTTTCTTTTAAAAAATAAATTATTTTTATGAGATAATAATTTGAAAATTTTATAATTATTTCTCAACAGCTTTCTTCTATAGAGTTAAATTACTTTATAAAAACTGATTATGTTGTATCTTACCGAAATTAAATATTTTAAGCTTTCTTCTATAAAGTTAATTTACTTTATAAAAATTGATTATGTTGTATCTTATTGAAATTAAATATTTAAGATCTCTTACAAAAAATTTACTCAATTTTATTTTGATTATAATTAATTATTAAAATAATTTAATTTTTAAATATTTTATAAACACACTTTAACAATACAACAAATTGTTTTATAAACAAATTTTCTTTTTCTTTTCAATTTTGTTAAGGGGGATGCATTAAAAAATTTGCACAACATTAAAAAAATCAGTAACAATAAACTTTAAATCTTTCAAAGGTCTTGGGGTTTAAGGTCACTATCATATAGAAGAGTTACTAAAAAATTTTATGTTGAATAAAGTCTTAGGAGTCATGAAAATTCATGGAGTCCATTAAACAATAAGAATCACTTGAAAGTCATTGATTCTGTTATTCTAAAGATTAGAAAAACCAATAAAAAGAGGGATAAAAACAAAATTCTAAAATTGGAATTTAAGCATAATGACTCAAAGGAAAATTCTGAAGACTCAACAGGCATGAGATATCACTCATGTCCAAAAAGTTTAAGAAATCTTTCAAGGAAGAAAACAATGAGATTATCTAGTATGAGTGTAAAAAATTTAAACATATGAAGGCTAAATGTCCTAAACTTAGAAAATGATGAATCAACAAAAAGGTTAAGAAGAGTTTTATAGTCACAAGAAAATATCTAAACAACAATAACAATAATTTAAAAGATGAAAACATCAACATATATCTCTGCATTAAAAAAAATTGCACAATATTGATGTTATATTGACATATTTTTTCTTCTTCTTTATTTTAGTCGGTTGACTTGTTATATTTCATCTCAGTATTTCAAACCAATTGACTATCAAAGAAGAAAAAAATTACTCCCTAAATATATTTTAGGCGTGCACATTTAATTACAATAAATAGATTGGAATCAATATTATTCTATTTTTTTAGGAAACTATATTATTCTTAAAGCATATATGATACTATTTATAAATTTGATTAAGAATTTATTAGATGGTTGCATTGTCGTCATCTTTGTTCAATTATAATTTTTTTGTCTCTCATATTTATCCAGAAGGAAATACTTGTGTGGATAAGCTAGTTGGTGTTGAGCTTCACCATATGCCTATGTATAAATGGTAGGATTTTCTTCCTAGATTCTCTAATAAAGATGTTTTTAGAAATCATTGTGGTTTTCATTTTTATAGGTTTTGTTAATTATGTTTTTTGAGTTTTGACCTAATCCTCCCATTTTGTATTCCTTTTATATATATATATTTATATATATATATATGTATATATAATTGGGTATGATGCAAATGGTTGTTAGATTTTGGAGTGTTAATGTTGTTGGGATGTTATTATTTTATATTGATGCATGCCATGTCTATATTTTCTATTGAAAACATGCAAAATAGTTAATTTTGCAAAGAAAATGAAAGAAAGAGAATTTGTTAATGTTGAATCGGAAATGGAAATTATTAGTATGTGTTATTTGTTATTTATTTTTTGTTTTCTATTTTTATTCTCATATAAATTATATTTTTTAATTTTATTTTTCAGTTAATTACTTTTTGACAAAACCAATTAAAGATTTTTTTTAGTAACTAAAATTCGATCATTTTTTTATAAAATTATAATTACAATCAATTTTTTTAGTATCATTAATAATGAAAATATATATAATATGGTTATAACTAGTATTCATGGACCAATAATTTTAAATTATAATTAATTAGTAGTTATATATATTAATATTAATAAAAAATTAAGAGAATGAATTAAATTAAAAAAACAGTTATAAAAATAATAAATACTATGTAATTATTATTAATTAGAAGCAATAAAAATAACAATTTTTAATTTATGAATATTTTATATTTTATTTTATGTTTAAAGCTATTTAATTTAAAAAAATTAAAAATATACAAATTTTTTTAACGCATTTAGATTTGAATATTTTGTTAAATGTATCTTATCTTACTTATAATAAAGTAGATAGCCTATCATAAAAGTTGTTTATATACTGCAGCCACTGCTTATAAATTTCTGTTATGTGATAATGTTATTGGAGTAGATAGAGGTAGATGGAAAATGTTTTGGAAGCTATCAATTTCTAGAAGATCAAAATGTTCCTCTGGCTTGCATTTAGTGCTGCTCTTCCAACAAATCAACTTAGATCTTAATGCCATTTGGATTAGAGTTTTAGAATTAGATTGTGCAGGGAATGTTGCATTTTTTGGAACTCATTCCCAACCTAAGTGGTCTCCTCCTTTTCTTAAATTGAATATAGATGGTAGCTGTACTAGAAATGGCCAGATGGGTACTAGTGGTTTGGTCCGCAACCAACAGGATGAATGGTTGGCTGGTTTTTCATCCAATGAAGGCTAAGGTGATGCTTTTCTTGCATAATTGTCAGCTCTTAGGAATTTCCTTGAGGTCGCTTGGGGATGTAATAATGTGTGAATGTGATGCTCTTGATGTGGTTAATGTGGTCATGGGATTTTTGGATTTGAATTTTCATCATCATGCTAGAGTTGTCTTGCAGATTTGCATGCTTATGGATCATGCTTCTTAGCTCATGTACCTAGAGAAGCTAATACTTCAGCTCATATCCTTGCTAAGTTTGGTGCTCATCAAGGTGGGAAGTGACATTTTTGGTATAAGCCTCCAACTATGGTTAAATTATTTACTTACCTTTTTGCATCTGGTGCAAAATGGAGGTTTATGAATTTCTTTACACTTCAAAAATATCATGTAATAATTAATTGCCATTTCATTCAATTAATCTTGTATTAATTTATATTTAAATATATATCTTTTTATTAAAAATATAAAAATTAATTTTCACACGCAATTAATTTATATTTAAATCATTTTTTATCCAATATTAATATTATCTTTTGTTGACAACTCCTACATAAAAAAATAAATATTTATAATATGAGAATATATTAAATGATATCTTAATATTAAGTCTTTAAAAATTTGAAACGTAAATTATAATATTTAATGAAAGTTGAATGTATTAATTAATGAACATAAATATTTATATCTTATTATTAATGAGAATGTAATATATTAATAATATTATTTGTAATATAATTTTATGATTTAATAATTTTTTCATTAATTATATTTAAATTTTATATTTGGATTGCAATTAATAATTAATATAATATGTTAAATTATATTATTATTTTAAAATATAATGATTATTTTTAATATCTATAATTTTTAAAAAATATATATGTATCATTATTTTATATATTATATATAAAATAAATATAATTATTTTCAAAATTTAAATATATTCTTCCAATGTCGCATTGACCATTACATTAATAAATATATATTTTTGTTTTTACAATGACATATATCTGTATTTTTTCAAATTGTATATATTAATTATTTCTAAGCAATTAAATTTATTATTGTGTACATTAATTTATAAATGTTATATAATAAACTTTTTCTATTTTTATAAAATAAAGATAATAATAATTTTAAAATATAAATAAAATATACTTTACAAATAATTTATTTTTAATATATTTATTATTATATAAAATATATATTAAATAAAATAATGTGCATCACACGAGTAAACATACTGGTTAATACTAATTAGAAAATAATTGTTGAGTTACATTTTGTTTTAAGAAAATAATGCTTATATTGTAATTAAATATGCATGATTGAAATATAAGTAGTCGACCTGTTAAAGAAAACAAAGAAAAATAGCTCACTAAAATATTTCAATTTAACCACTTGAAAATCGACGCTGAGATATATTTTTCTGCCATAGATGTAAAAGTTTACAAAATCTTTTTGTGTCAATGCCTCTGTGTGCAAAATGCAGATTTTGATACACAAAGTGAATGGTCAATGTTGTGCAAATTTCTTAATGCACTCTCGCCTAAAAGAATTGAGAAAAGAATGGTTAAGGAATATAATTTGTATACTAGAAGAGTCATGCTAATTGTATTCTTCACCCCAATTCCTCTTTGAAATGTGAATGCATTTGTTATCCATTTGGTATCCTGTAGAATGGATCACTTGAACATTATAACTTATAAGGTATGCGAATTATATGAAATCATTTATTTATTTTATAACTGGATATAAAATTTATAATAGCAATTAATTTGCAAGTGAATGCAAACTGAATCCTTGCATAAAAGGGGAAAAAGAAAAAACATAATTTGGTAAATCACTCGCTCGCCATATATAATTATTAAAAATCAATGTTCTGAAGCCCTTGACTTCAAATGGTTCACCACTTAAGCTTCGCAGGGAAATACTGCAAATGGCCAAAAAGAAAAAAAGAATCACACATTGAAAACAATGAGTACATAAAATAAAATAAATAATAAATTGACCAAATCATCAAGATGATCCCAATTTTTACTCTCACCTTCTCAATGAGTGACACATAGTATGGCTTAACTTTCTCAACATCAATTAGAACTTTGCTCTTGCTGTAGAGATCATATTTGCTGCACAAGATTGTATTATAGTTTATAGATTATGTGAGACAAAGCAAAAGACGTGCACAAATAAACAAATCTAGCCAAGTTAAAACAGAAACATACTTGAATACTTTGAGCCACTTCAAATTCTCAACATCTTCTTCATTCATCAAGTGAGTGTATGCACCTTCCTTGTGCAAAGCTGCAAAATTATATGTTGCAGTCATTATATTTGCGAGACAATGAACACAGAGAACCTTCTTCTCAACATTCAACAAAGTTTATAATTAAGAAAAACACATATATGATGAAAATTCTTACGATAGAAAGAGTGATATCTGATGATGAACAACCCTGCAGATGGCAAAGTGGTGTCATTTTTCTTAGCAACCTGCATATTCAAATGCATCATATATTACATCTCAAATAAAGTGCTATAATAAAAATATATGTATAAAATTTAGAACATCTGCATCATGAACTATATATCCATACTCACCATATACATATAATCATCATGTCCCCATGACATAGCTACGTTTTCTAGTCCACATCCTTCGGTGTAGATTCCATTCTTGGTATTATATGCAGCGCGATTGTAATCAGGGTTCTCCTTGAAATACTGCATCAGGAATGAAATTAGGCCAATTATTAATTTAAGATTCAAATTATTGTCATTAACAGGTTTCTTTGAAGAAACTAATTACCTTATGGTGAATATTGGACTCATCAAAGGCGCAACCCAGAGGAAATGTATCTCCTGCAAATATCCCATTAACAATTCAATTAAATTGCTGGATTCAAACTTAAAACAAATTGGAAGCAAGAAAAAAAATTAAACTTATGTAGCTAAGGATTAAGTTCTCACCAACAACAGCCCATTGAGGAAGCTCACCAAAGCTAGGAAGGAGAAGAATCTTTCCAAGATCTAAAACAAGCAAACAAGATTATGATATCCACGTTGGTGCTGCTATATTTTGATATACACCGGCATCCAAATATCCAAAGCATAAAAAGGCCTCTTCAAAATTGATTTATAAGATAAGATTGTTTTTCTCTTATATACATTAATTTAGACATATTTTTAGTCGATATGAAATCTCCAGCAAGTTCAGATAATCTTTTAGGCAAGCAATTTGACACATAAGAAAATAAAAAATAAAAAAAATTGAAAGGGTATGTATGTACGTATATACCATGGATTAAAGCAGTCAAATGCAGCCAATCTTCATTAGGATAGTCTTTTCTGATGGCCTCAGCAGATTGCAACAAATGCTGAATTTGAGGTTCATCCAGATCAGGATCACTCTCATCCACCACTTCATTCAGCAGTTCACAACACTCCCATATGCTCATTTCAGCTTTGTCCAATTTCTCATATTCCTTTCTCATTCTCTTCACCTACATTAATTGTTAGCATTTAGCAAATTGGATTTCCATCAGCATTTCATTTGAAATCCAACTATAGACACATATTTGTTGAAAAGAAATTAACATTAACATTGCTTACAAAGTCATATGTCTGGTTGATGTGTTGCAACCTATAAAATTCCTCCACACCCTTTTGCCTCTCACTTTCAACGTCATAATTTCTGTGACAATTATTTTCATTGCCCCAATATTAATTTCATTAAAAAAAATGATGGCTTTAAACTACTTGAAATTAAAAAATAAAAAATGCAATTGGAACCTGAAGGACTGGCCAAATGCATTGATTTCTGGAGTCATGAATCCACCATCCAATACAAGCACATTGGATTCTTTAGTATGCATGTTCTTCTCTTCAACTAGTGACTCTGCTGAAAGCATGTAATAATGTGAGTGACCATGGAACATTACTAGGAACCAAGATAAAAACAAGCAAAAAAAAAAAAAGCAATGATACCAAGGGAAGGTTGCTCAATGAGGATGGTCATTTTCTCAGCACTGAAACACCAATAAGGCAAAGAAGAAAATAAATGACAATGAAAGGGTGTGGTGGTCTCAATTGTTTGACAAGAGGGTATATATAGTTGTATGAAATGTCCTTGCCAGGGAATTTGGAAGTTTGGAGTCCTCAAGAGAAAATAACGTAAAAGTTTTCTATAAAACACAATTTACAAGAAAATTATGATACTTTTATAAGGCACTTAAAAATTTCTATAAAGTATTAATTTAATTTTCATCTCTTACCTTTATTAAAGGTTGTGAAAATATGTTTTTTTTTTTGTTGAATAATGAGAAGAGAATAATTTAATAAATAAATTTTCTCTTTTTTACTTCTTAAACTATTCAAATTTTATTGGTACTAGTGCATAAATTTTGATCTGTTGTAATATTTATATATTATATAACAATTTAGTGATAAGTAAGAAAAATAAAATTGATATCTTATAATTTTTTTTTATAAAATCAATTAAAATAACTACTCATATTAGGAGGTATAATTCTATTATAAATGTCATTTAATAAGGATAAAAGAAAGTATATCTAAATTTAATAATAAATAAGTTTATAATAATTAAATAAAAAAAATAAATGATTAATATTAAAGCTAATATGGCTATTTTGAAAACAATTTCAATTATTAATAAATTTAATTTCATTAATTAAATTAATCAATTTTTTTATAAGATTAATCAAATTTCTTAGAAGTGTAAATTATTCTGAAGAGTTTTATATATAATTAAAGACGAAGTTATTAATAATGAGCATTTAAAATCCCGTAAGTTCTATTAAACATCTCATTAATTAATATGATTATTAGAAATAAAATAAAACTAAAAAATAATATTTTCAAAAAATTAGAAAAAGTTCTAATGTATTTCTATTTTAGACAGAAAAAATGTGTCAAAGATTCTTATTTTATATAATAAAAAAGAAGATAAATGTGATAATTAATTATTAAAAAAATACTCTATTTATTATTTGTATTTTATATTCTGGCTATTAATCTTTTGAAAATATAAATATTTATTATTATTATTATTATTTAAGATACATAAAATACCATATTAATAATTTTTTAAATAGTATTTTTTTTAAAATAGGAAAGATTACCAAGATGATCGCAATAAAAATTGAACCTAGGTCCAATTTTTTTTTAAATAGTATAAAACGTGTACATAATAAGTGTCTACTTAGTCTGATTAAATATTCATTTGAGACACTTATCTAGCACACTTTGTGTACATATTGATATTATTTTGAGCTATATATGCTTAGAATCAAAGAGGTACTTTTGATTAATGTTAGTACAGGGAATAGGAAACTTTTGATCCAATTTGGTGCTTATTTTGTAGGTTTTGAAACCTGGAGAAGAATGGCTCAGCCATTCTAAAGCGCTCAGCGGAATCAAGCCAGAGAGCCTCCCAAACTGAAGGCGGTCAGCCATTCAGAGGCGCCCAGCAGATTTGGCCTGGAAGAGAAGGAGTGTTCTCTGCCTCCAAGGCGCTCGGCCACTACCATCCGCTCAGCGGATTTGGTCCAGGAAAAGGATGCTTTCTGCCTGCAAGGCGCTCAGCGGATCTGAGGCGCCCAGCCCTTTTGAATGCTTAGCAGTGAAGTACTCCTAAGGCGCTCAGCGGATCCAAGGGGCTCAGCCCTTTAGGTTACTTCATGGTGAAGGATTCTTCAAACCGCTCAGCCGTTTCTGTAATATCCCAAAATTTTATTCAATGAAAAGAAATATTTTTTTATGTGAATAAGTATTTTATTTATGTATTTTACTATTTACGTATACGTATTTTACTATTTATGTATACATATTTTTACTATTTATGTATACGTATATTTACTATTTATATATACGTATTTATGAATAGTATTTTACTATTCATATGAATAGTAATTTTGAAAAAACGTAAGTACGCAAAAATCAAATTATTTGGATGAATAGTATTTTACTATTCATGAATACGCCGTGACGGCGCTGGGGGTGAACCGTTCAGCGGCGGTGGTATACTGCGGTTCCTCCGACGGGTTGTTGAACTTCTGGGAGCAAAATTTGGTTACACTTTTTAAAAATAAAAATAAAAAATAACTGCAATGACGTGACAATTTAATTGAGATGGCATTTTATGATTGGAGGGACAGGATTTGGGGACAGGGGTTTGAGACAGAGGATTTTAATCCCTGCCTTTTGAGTCCCGCACAAGACCACCAAATCCTGCCAATCTTGGTATAAATACCTGATATGGTGATGCAAGCATACATTTCACCCAGCGTTGGTTATTAAGAACATTTTGAGCAGGAGTTGCTTATGTGCCACGTCATTGTTACATCAGTTCTAATTTACTTTATGGGTTACTTAAATTTTAACAAAGTTATTTTTACAAACAATTTTACTAAAAATTAAATAATCCATAAAGTGGATCAGGATTGATATGATAATGATGTGGCAGCAACCCCACCGGAGATGTTAATATGAATATGTCCTCCATAGAGCTTCGAATGTGAGCCACAATCTGTTGACAGGTCATCTGTTTTCCCTAAAACACCATTTCATCATGAGTCTTCCATATCTCCCATGAAGTAACAGAAGCAACCTACCCACTTGAACTACGTACGATCCCAAATAGCCAATTTAGCCACGACATACCATCTCTGATTGGTTGGACTACCTCTATATTCAAAAGGCACCAAACACCTGTCGTAACCCGACACTCCCAAAAGAGATGATGTACATCCTCAAAAAGGAAATAAAGTGCCTCACAAATACAAAGGCAAAAATACACCTATACAAGTATCTACTATATACAAGGTACAAGAAATCAAACTATACAATGTATGTACAATAGAGACTATGAGACTAAAAAGAGGAATCATTCTCAATACTCATATTGAGTATAGGTCTAAGAAGCACCTCCTCTCTAGAAGCCTCCTTTAGCCTCCTAACCATGGACCTAGTTAAAGGCCCAATGGTCTTCAAGTGTGAGCCTCCTTGGATCAACCTTCACCCTTCTTGGTCTTACCTCTTCCAAAGGGATCCTTGTGGATTAGATTTCCATCAGCCAAGGTCATCATTGATGTTGATGATGGCAAACTCAAGGTTAGAGTGCAGGATAATGAAGTGAATTTTAATGTCTTTGAAGCCATGAAACATCCAAGTGATAAGACAGGTTGCTTTAAAGTGGATGTGATTGATGAGTTGTGTATGGAAGCTCAAAGGAAATTCTCAGTAGCCACACCATTAGAGAAAGCATTGGTGAATGCAGTCAGAGAAATCAATGATGAGGAAGAAAAAGAAATTCAGAAGTGTTTGGAGGAGTTGGACAAAGCAAAGGAGATTTCTCCTAGTTCTACAAGTGTACAAGAGTTAAACAAGGAGGAAAAGTCTCAACCTCAAAATTTAGAATTGAAGCAATTGCCAAGCCATCTCAAATATGTGTTTCTAGAAGCAAATGGTGGCAAACCAGTCATAATCAGCAGTTCCTTATCAATGGAGGAGGAAAAGAAGTTAGTTGAAGTGCTGAAGGCGAATGAAGGAGCTATTGGGTGGACTCTATCTGATCTAAAAGGTATTAGTCCTTCATATTGTATGCATCGGATCTTGATGCAACAGGATTATAGACCTATGGCACAACCTCAAAGGCGCCTCAATCCAACAATGAAGGAGGTGGTCAGAAAAGAGGTGATTAAGTTACTTGAAGCAGGCATGATTTATCCTATCTCCGACAGTGCATGGGTTAGCCCTGTTCAGGTGGTTCCTAAGAAAGGAGGCATGATAGTGGTGATGAATGACAAGAATGAATTGATTCCTACAAGGACAGTCACTGGTTGGCAGATGTGTATTGATTATCGAAAGCTGAATCAGGCCACAAGGAAGGATCACTTCCCATTACCCTTCATGGACCAGATGTTAGAGAGGTTGGCGGGTCAAGCCTACTACTTCTTCTTGGATGGTTATTCTAGATACAATCAGATAGCAGTGGACCCAAAGGACTAAGAGAAGACAGCATTCACATGTCCTTTTGGTGTTTTTGCATATAGGAAAATGCCATTTGGATTATGTAACGCACCAGCCACATTTCAAAGGTGTATGCTAGCCATATTCTCTGATGTTGTTGAGAAATGTATAGAGATTTTCATGGATGATTTTTCTGTGTTTGGAGCATCATTTGATGCATGTCTGGAGAATCTAAACATTGTACTGAGGCGGTGTGTTGAAACAAATTTGGTTCTTAACTGGGAAAAATGCCATTTTATGGTGACTGAAGGAATAGTGCTTGGCCATAAGATTTCTAGAAAAGGTATTGAGGTGGATCCAACCAAAGTGGAGGTCATCTCTAAGCTTCCTCCACCAACAAATGTGAAAGGAATCAGGAGCTTCTTGGGACATGCTGGATTCTATAGGCGGTTCATTCAAGATTTTTCAAAGATCGCCAAACCGCTTAGCAATCTCCTTGTGAAAGATGTTAAATTTCAATTTGATGATAATTGATTGTCTGCTTTTTCACTCTTAAAACAAAAATTGTGCTCAGCACCTGTAATCACTAGCCCTGATTGGAATTTTGATTTTGAACTAATGTGTGATGCTAGTGACTATGCAGTAGGTGTTGTTCTGGGTCAAAGGAAAAACAAGATTTTTCATGTCATACACTATGCAAGTAAAGTTTTGAATGAAACTCAAATGAATTATGCAACCACAGAAAAAGAACTACTTGCATGTGTATGCACTTGAGAAATTTTGTTCTTATTTGATTGGTTCAAAAATTATTGTGTTCACTGACCATGCAGCTATTAAATATTTGTTGACTAAATCTAATTCCAAACCAAGGCTGATAAGATGGATTCTGCTATTACAGGAATTTGATTTAGAAATAAAAGACAAGAAGGGCTATGAAAACCACATTGCAGATCATCTGTCAAGACTAGAAAATGAAGAGGTGACCATACTTGAAAGTGCAATCCATGAGGAATTTTCATATGAGAAATTATTCTCTGTGCAAGAAAGGCCTTGGTTTGCTGATATGGCAAATTTAAGCTCTAGGGTTGGGATTGACGTAATCGTCAAACTCCTTTGTATTCCTCTTTGATTCATATATATATATATCATCTATTACTCTATGTCAGTAATTTGTTTCCGTTCTTAATGTTTTGATAAACTGATCACTTATCTCTGATTTTGAGTTTAGAATTTGGTTGGGAAACGTTTTCTAACTCTAGATTTGGAATGAATCACCCATTAGTTTTGAGAGTCAGGGATGGTCTTGAAATTAATGGTTGCTACAAGTTCTGATTCTTAAAGCAGGATATTTAATTGAATGAAGTGATGAATCATTCATTGAATTAAATATCTTAGAATTTCTTATGCCAAGGGATTGAGTCTGAATGAATTTAGAGAACTCAATGGCAATGAGTAATAGAATTTTTAGAAAGAATCAATAGGAACGCATAGGAGGGAGATTGATGAAGTCTAATCCCAACTGTTTCTTATAACTATTTTTCTACAAGTTAAATTATCTTTGGCTACTTGAATTTAACCAATAATCCATATCAACCTTGAACATGTGTAATTATCAAATTTTACATTCGTAAGCATCAATTAGTATAATAGAAATCATAGCTTATCTCACAAGTCCCTGAGGTTCGACAACCTTTAAATTATACTACATAGACTTGGGTGCGCTTGCCTATATAAAAAAATCCAACAGTACACTGCACTTAATTATAAATGATAAATATTATAGCCAATAAATGAATACATGAATTCAAGTATTCATTAATAACACTATTTAAACTCATTATCATATCTTCAATGCATAATAATAAATGTTCATTTAAAACATACTTTTTTATTAAATGTTTCGTTACAATTTATTGAGTAAAAAAATTATTAAAATTAACCGTCTCAAATGATGATTTTTTTATAAGGTACTTTACAAATTTTATAAAGAGAAGATATTTATTTATTTTAGGAGTAAGTCTACGTCAAATCTTAACGATTCAATTGTTGAATTAAAATTTTTTGATATATAAATCAAATTTACAAATATTTAAAAAAATTAAAAATCATTTAACACTTTGTTTCATTAACTCAAATTAGTGATTAATCATAAAATCATTTTATACGTTGATATGAATATATTAATGAAACAAAGTATCAAATTTTTTTAAAATTTGCAGACTTGATTTATGGATTAAGAACTTTAAATTTAATGGTTTGATCATTAAAATTTGATGGAGTAAGTTTAGGTAGATTTACTTTAGGAATAAATAGATCCTTTCTCTTTTATAAAATATTAATTTTATTTTTTATGTTTTGTCTCTATATATTAAATATTGATAAGAAGTTATAATTCTATATCAAATAAAATAATAATAGTTTAACTCAATAAAATGAAAGATATTTGTTTACGAGATATAATTAAGTACATGCAATTAAATCCAATTTGAAAGCAAGTAAAAGAGATAATGTAATAATTATAAATTCATAATACATGCAAAAAACATCCCTCATAAAATAATAATGTGCCCAAAACATATTTATTTTTGTCTTTATGGAAAATGCTAGCGAAGCTCACTCCAATATTTTCTTTATATTATTAGTTAAAAAATTATAAATTTTGATGAGTTTTACTATTAAATCAAGAAAAAAAATATTAAACGAGATAAGATGAATGACCTATAAAATTTATGATTTTCAATAAATTTCATCTAATAATAAAGAGAATTTTAGAAGAAATGCGATTAACATTAATTCCTCTCATTTTTATATATTGTTGAATGTAAGGTCCATAGAGATCTTAACAAATATTACTCATTTTTACCACATCCATATAGTGTATATTTTATTGGTTTCAACCAAAAGTTATTAACACAAATAATTTGATATTTGTGTTCTTTAACTAAAAATCGTGATCCATATTTTATTTTAGACATAAAATTACAACTAAAGATATTACTTTATACCTAATATGAGTTAATTCAATAAAAAAAATTATATCTCCTATTTATTAAAATGAAAATCTTAGTTTCAACACATTTGTCTTTCATTTTTGAATATGCATATTAAGGTTTCTTTCATCTAATAATTGATACAACAAATAATAATAGTTAAAATAATGGATAAAATTTTACATATAGAAGAATAATGGAATCTTATTATACCTTCTTCCTTCTATCAAATCTCTTTCATCCCTTCTTTTATCCCTTTAATTTTCTGTGTAAATTTTGATGGAACCTTTTAACCTTATGTATCCAAAAATTTAATTTTTTTCTCCTTTTACTACTCATCATATCAATTGGAGATCTTAAAATGTCCTGATTTTATTATTTGTAAAATAAATAGGCATGCTCTAAGTGACACCAATTGACAGGATGTACGCAAAATAAGTAGGCACGATAGGTGCATAAACTTGTGAAAGTTATATTTGGGTGTCAAAACTCAAAACCAAATAAATATAATATAAACTAGGAGCATTGTTCTCCATCGATGCCTTAAGTGGGTATACATGACTTATCAATGAGAGGCTTTTCATTTCTTAAAAACTATACAAATCTTGACCAACAACAATCGAACCTCGAAGAAAAACCTTTCGAAAGGAAGTTATTAACCTATGAATACCAAACGTGATGGCTCAAAAGATGTACTTGAGAAGAGAAACAATCAAATTCAGTTATATTAAAGATGTTGTTGCGTGAAATAAGCTGAAACTATTGTCATCTATTAAGAAAATACCGATGATTAATGGGTTATCTATCATCTCAGCATGATAAAAAAAATCTAACCATATATTCATACTAATTTGATTTGTACACTTATGCATATAAACAATGTAATTGAGAGGAACTTGATGTAAAGCATTAGGAGTGAACCTGCAAAAATACCAAGTAGATTCGACTGTTGCTTCACAATTTGATGTAATTGATCATATATCAGTAATAAATCTCCACTTTCTTTATCATTTCTATGGACATCTTCAGGAGTGAAAAACAAACTACAAAAGATTTAAGGATCTTATTTGATTCACAGAAAATTTAGATCTTCCTTAAACAATATGTATTATTCACATATATAGTAGAAAAGTTTAAATATGACACAAAAGCTCTCAATCTCTGATCGGAAAGTCAGACCATGCTCATCCTTTATAGTGTGTTTGGATGAGGAATTTATATAGGGTAATTCTACCATCTCTGATTGGTTGGACTACCTCTATATTCAAAAGGCACCAAACACCTGTGATATCAGAAACTCATGATGCTCACAAGTAAAATAAATATTGTTCTACTCAAATTGAAAGAAGAAGGAAGAATTGTTTTGATTCTGCTGCACACTTCCTACGAATACATTAGGCCTTTTATAGGCCAAGGTTCACAATAAAATATTAAACAAAAAACAAGACAACGTTTAGTGGTCATTCAACGTGCAACCTTAGTGCTAATAAAATAATGAGCATTATTCTTAGTGCACTGATCATTATACTTAGTGCAATGAGCATTATACTTAGTGCCTTCTCCACCAATAATAATTGGTTTATTTTACTTGGTTTATTTTCCACATTGCCTCCCTTAAACCAAGTTTATCAGATTTTTGTCATTCCAAGCATTTTCTTTAACTTATAGAATAATTCAGCTTTTAATGGCTTTGTAAAAATATCCGCAATTTGTTCTTCAGTGTGACAGTAGTTTATCAACACTTCTTTCTCAGTTACCAGTTCTCGGATTTTATGAAACCGAATATCTATGTGCTTAGACCGTTCATGAAATACAGGATTTTTGCATATTGCAATTGCTGACTTGTTATCACAAAATATCACTGTGGGATTATCTTGCTTCTGATGCATTACTTCAAGCATTCTTCTCAGCCACACAGCTTGGGTTGCACAACTTGCTGCTGCTATATATTCTGCTTCGGCAGTTGAGAGCGCCACCACTTGTTGCTTCTTTGATGACCATGATATTGTACCACTTCCAAGATTGAATGCATATCCTGACGTGCTTTTCCTTGTTTCTATATCTCCTGCCCAATCACTATCTGTATATCCAACAAGATTCACATCAAAGTCTTTATCATAGAAAATTCCTTCTGTCAGAGTACCTTTGATGTATCTGAGAATTCTTTTAGCTGCCTGCCAATGAGAATCTCGAGGTTTTTCCATGAATCTGCTGAGTAGTCCAACTCCATAGACAATATCTGGCCTGGTTGCAGTTAAATATCTGAGGCTTCCAATCAAACTTTTATAGAGAGTTGGATTGATTTTCTTCCCTTCAATGT